AAGTTTTTAACAATAGAGAACATAGATTCTATTTAGGGTTGGATTAAGGGTGGGTCTAGTGCAGTTCTGCAATTTCCAAGCTGATTCTTAAAAAAAATTAGTGGAATTTTTAGTTGCTGAAATCAAGAAGAATATTCTACCTTGAAGTAGTTGACAAAAAGAGTTTTGTGACATGGATTAGCATAAAGCTCCCATTAGAATGGAAGGGAATGAATTGCCTAATTGGAGCAGAAAAAATGTTTTGGTTTATCACCTTTGTGAGTAGCAGACGCTGGGTTCAAAAGTAGGACAGGATGAATTATATCCTCACAGATTAGGTTTTTCTTCATACATCAGGCAACTGGGGCAATGACAAGTTTCTGAGAAGGGATAGGAGAGTTGGGCCTCTTCTTACCATCAGCACTATCTCCATCATCACCACCATTATTATCCTGCCAACAAATACCAATGGCATTTACTACAAGCAAGATGATTTTTGTACATATGTACAATCTGGATAGCTGAGAAATAAAAGGAACTTCATTTTACACATTATCTTTATTTTACACAGGAAGGAACCCATGTTCAGAAATGGTAAATGATTTACTTAAAGCCACAGATACTTAATGTGGGAACCAGAATCTCCAACTGTGTCTTTCTGGCTCCAGAGTAATTTCTCCTATATGGCCCTGGTATTTTAGGAATGTGAATCTGGCAGCAGTTAAGCAGAATGGTTTGAAATGGACTTAGGACTAATAGGATTCAGGAAAGAGACCTTGAGCCAACAATCCAAAGATCAGTTCCAATATTATATAAACCCAGAGACTAATCACAATTCTACCAAGGGGTCTACTCCTTCCTGTGGGAAAGGAGAAGAAATTGATGCTGCAAGTAAGTGCTTTTGCATTTAAATTGCCTGGTCTCATAGTCAACATTTACACTTTTATTTTCTTAAATATTGTATTCAGAGAAACTATCTTTTGGTTTATCACAAGAAATTTTATCACTACTTTTCTTCGGATATTATTACAAATGAAATTTGTGAAGTGACTGGAAAGAATTATTGGGAACACATTGGCTTTTCTTTGTTCTTTCTGACGTGTAATCCCAATGAATACTTAGTGACCACATCCTCTTAAAACTATGGAACAGTTCAATTATCAAAAAAAAGCATCATGTAAGTTTTATTTCAATGGCTGATGAGCATATGTAAAATACATTACTAATAGAAACTTCAGAATTCCATAGTAAAAACAAAAAATTAGAACCTGTAGCTTTTTTTCCTTGTATATCCAAACTTTAAACATATTATTCTATTTCTTAAAGTAGATTAGGACTAGTATTTGAAATAGCATTTATTTTCTTCTTTTGTATTTTTTATAATGTCAATGAAAATAATCTATCTTATCTTATAATTTGTTTTTATCTCTCTACCTGTCTATTTGTCTATCACCTACATGATGATGTCAACAGTCATTTTGTAAATGTACTGTCTACTATAGAAGCATACTGTCATTGAAGTCCGCCTCATCAACTATCCTCATGCTTATATATATATATATATATATATATATATATATGTCAAAAGGTATTCTTCCAATGAGGAGGAACTCTTCCAATGAGGCGGACTTCAATGACAGTATGCTTCTATAGTAGACAGTACATTTACAAAATGACTGTTGACATCATCATGTAGGTGATAGACAAATAGACAGGTAGAGAGATAAAAACAAATTATAAGATAAGATAGATTATTTTCATTGACATTATAAAAAATACAAAAGAAGAAAATAAATGCTATTTCAAATACTAGTCCTAATCTACTTTAAGAAATAGAATAATATGTTTAAAGTTTGGATATACAAGGAAAAAAAGCTACAGGTTCTAATTTTTTGTTTTTACTATGGAATTCTGAAGTTTCTATTAGTAATGTATTTTACATATGCTCATCAGCCATTGAAATAAAACTTACATGATGCTTTTTTTTGATAATTGAACTGTTCCATAGTTTTAAGAGGATGTGGTCACTAAGTATTCATTGGGATTACACGTCAGAAAGAACAAAGAAAAGCCAATGTGTTCCCAATAATTCTTTCCAGTCACTTCACAAATTTCATTTGTAATAATATCCGAAGAAAAGTAGTGATAAAATTTCTTGTGATAAACCAAAAGATAGTTTCTCTGAATACAATATTTAAGAAAATAAAAGTGTAAATGTTGACTATGAGACCAGGCAATTTAAATGCAAAAGCACTTACTTGCAGCATCAATTTCTTCTCCTTTCCCACAGGAAGGAGTAGACCCCTTGGTAGAATTGTGATTAGTCTCTGGGTTTATATAATATTGGAACTGATCTTTGGATTGTTGGCTCAAGGTCTCTTTCCTGAATCCTATTAGTCCTAAGTCCATTTCAAACCATTCTGCTTAACTGCTGCCAGATTCACATTCCTAAAATACCAGGGCCATATAGGAGAAATTACTCTGGAGCCAGAAAGACACAGTTGGAGATTCTGGTTCCCACATTAAGTATCTGTGGCTTTAAGTAAATCATTTACCATTTCTGAACATGGGTTCCTTCCTGTGTAAAATAAAGATAATGTGTAAAATGAAGTTCCTTTTATTTCTCAGCTATCCAGATTGTACATATGTACAAAAATCATCTTGCTTGTAGTAAATGCCATTGGTATTTGTTGGCAGGATAATAATGGTGGTGATGATGGAGATAGTGCTGATGGTAAGAAGAGGCCCAACTCTCCTATCCCTTCTCAGAAACTTGTCATTGCCCCAGTTGCCTGATGTATGAAGAAAAACCTAATCTGTGAGGATATAATTCATCCTGTCCTACTTTTGAACCCAGCGTCTGCTACTCACAAAGGTGATAAACCAAAACATTTTTTCTGCTCCAATTAGGCAATTCATTCCCTTCCATTCTAATGGGAGCTTTATGCTAATCCATGTCACAAAACTCTTTTTGTCAACTACTTCAAGGTAGAATATTCTTCTTGATTTCAGCAACTAAAAATTCCACTAATTTTTTTTAAGAATCAGCTTGGAAATTGCAGAACTGCACTAGACCCACCCTTAATCCAACCCTAAATAGAATCTATGTTCTCTATTGTTAAAAACTTTATGAGCTGATAATTGAAACACATAGCCCCTCTCCCATTTACTTGCATGTATCACATTTTCAATAAAAACGCACGGTGATTCCTAGCAGTTGTCACTCTTCAGAGAGCGATCTCTGAGGGGTGTCCAGCAAAGGATGTGCATGAAAAGGCACTGAGGCCTTTGTCTTCTGTTCACCTGCACCACCTCCGTCGAGTCAACCCACCCCCACCGAGGCTGGACCCTGGCAGAAAGTTAAATCTGTAGCAGCACTAACATATTGTTCAAAAGAAAATTTTTGAACATTTTGGCATTAAGAAAGAATTCAATTGACCTTATAATATCTGATATGATATTTCCTCAAACAGCAGTGACCTAAGATATTTTTTAATGTTTTAAGGATTACAATCATTGTTATGGGGCTCTTATAACTAGATAAATATTCATATTTTTCTCATATTTTGAGACCACACCCATAGTCAGGCCCAAGAAGTCCTAGTAATCAAGCAATTACGGAATCCAAGAAAACATATAAAGAATACAAAAGTGAAATGATGAAATGATTATTTCACAAAAGTTATTCTTAAAGCTTTCGGATACTAAAACAATTCATATATAGCATTTATCTAAATAAATTAAAATAGATCTGTTGATATTTTAAACCAATGTTCATATTTTTTATACATTAAACCAGTGTATATTATTACAGCTTGTAAAATAAACTTTCCCAGCATGAATACACTGTATTTTAGTCTAGTTAAAGGTATTACCATACATGTCATCAACAACAGATAATGACAGATAATTTTCCCTTTTTGTGTTGCTTAAACGTTTTCCTTTTTTTGTAAAATCACACAAAACTTATATAAACAATGCATCACTAACTTTTCAGAATTCTTTAATTCAATTTATTTATGAAAATATGAAAAAGTTAGAATTTGAGAGTATATAATGTATATATATGGTTATTCATTGAGAATATAAAAATAAAATATGTACTCAAAAATTATAGCACTTGTTACACAGAAACAATTACCAAAAATGCATTCACATGATGTTAGAAAAACAGAAACTCTGGTAAAGATGTAAATATGAAAATCAGGAAATAAGTAGACACCATATACTACTTACATTGTTTTTAACTATAGTTTTGTTTTAAGAATATCTTCCTATATTTTTATTTTATGAGCTTACTCACTCCACATTCATCTTATAATTCATCTTTGTAGAAAGCATAATCAATGTGCCCCCATAGTTTCCAGAGAATTATTTTTTATATTTAGTTAATTCCTATAGTTTTCCTTTTTATTATGTACAGGATCTAATTATTTCATTGTTTTCCTATCTCTTCCATACTATCCAGACAACTTATGTAAAGAAATCAATGTTAGTGCTACCTTCAAAGTGTACTTTTCTGCTAATAATGACAGAAATTTGCATGAATACTTGCAAAGTAAAAAGAACTTAAAGCACATGCGCAATAGAGATGAGGGCTCATGTAACAATTCACTTTTTTAACTGAAAATATAAATTACTTCAAACACAGCAACTACTTCATATTTATTTGGAACTACAAGATCAGGTTTTAATATCAACATATTCTATTAATCTCTGAATTTAGAGTTGAAATTCTTACCTGAGTTTTGTCTAGTATACAGTTAATTTTTAAAGACAGGAAATGTATGACAAGCTGTCATATATTCATCACCCACCCTGGAAAAATTAAAGGGAAGGGCAGAAATGAAGTCCATTTTAAAAAGAAACTCCAAATCCTTCTGCTACCCAGACCTACAGTAGTTTTGCTTTGCATCTTGTAAGCAACTGTCTTTTTCTTGCTTAGGAACAACACATGCTCTGCCACAGCAAGAAAGCCTAAGAATTAAATAGAAAACCACAAGGTTATTAAACACTCTTACCCTCTGGGCTGTCCAGGCTGGTCCAGCGTCTCAGTAGCAGACACATGTGTAAACAGCAGAATTTCCTGCATCCTCTTCTCATCGGCACAGCTCTGGGGTCCTGGCCAACACAATTATTTCCAGCATTAAGGACACTCCACGCTAACTCAAAAAGGATTCCCATTGGTTGTGAAGTTTATCCAAACCAATATCACAACACCGCCTTTGGATCTTAAGCCAGCTAACCTAAATAAAGCCATTTTGAATGTTCCCTAAGTGTGGTTAGCCAAAGCTTTCATACAACCCAGTTGAAACTAGGTACAGTGAGTGAAAAGGAAGAGAACAGCCATCTGTCACCCACAAGTAGTTGTAATGTTTAATAACAACAGTATAACTTGTAATAACAGAAAAAAATAAAAACTAAAAAAGCGAAGAGAAAACCTAGTAAAGTCCCTACCTGCAAAATAACTTGAATGGACTTATACTATAGATTTCAGGAAAGACACAATACCATTTGCTTGATCTGATTTGTATTGTATTGCTTTTAAAAGGGGGAAAATCATATTTTAATAAAAGATGTGAAGACACAGATCATGATACAAAAACTATATGTCAAAACCCTTAAACTCACGCTGGCAGGAGCTGAGAGTTATGATGTCCAGGGTACCATGGAACAGCTCTCTGGCCCCTTTTCCCAAGGAGGGTGGGGGACAGAGAGGCCTTGTGGTGGACAGGAATCTGCTGTCAGGAAGTATCCCAATCAAGGGCTGATGGCAGACCATACAGCAGAGCTTCCCTGAATGAAACTATGCCCACGAAATGCCCACAGAGCAGAGGAAACACAATAAATGTGGTCTTTATAAGTAGCATGAAAACAGCACTTGCAAGTTAGAAAGTAAACAATTTCAGATTATCACGTTATTTCTCCCTTATAGGGTTCTTAGTTAAAAGTTCTATTTCTACTTAATACCCTTTCTCCCTTCCTTCCTGATGCAATGAGAGAGATGACTACTCTCCTGTGTAAAGTCAACTAATTCTTTTGAGCTAAACTTGCTCAATCATGATTCTTCTCTACCCTTGAGCTCTCCGTGAGATGTTAACCAGCATAAATTCTTTAGTCAATTTCACTTATGCTGACCAATTTTATTTTCAAGTCAGGCACTCTTATTTCCAGGTACCTTTGTTCTCTCTGTGCTGGTCAAATGACTGAAAGCACTCTCCAGCCAAAAACCAACTTAATAGTCCATTTACACCCTTCAGTATGTTAAACTGAAAACACACACACACAAAAGATTCACTTTTTTTTTTTAAGTTTAGAACCTCCTGCCTGTCCTCCTTTTCAGGAACACCTCTGCAGCCTCTGATGCCATTTACAACCACATCCACATGAAGACTCGTCTCGTCTTGTCTTCCTCTTGACTTCTCTCGCTGTCTCTCCTCAGGCATTTTGGTGGTGCTCATCTCTGTCCGCTCCTCAGTGTACATCAGCTATGTTCTCAAGTAGTTCTGTTGGACAAGTCACCCATCCTCATGGTTTCAATCACCATCTCTCTTCAGATGACTTCCAAATTTGGAGGCAATCATCTTTTGAGTCACTGACACATATTCGTCAGTGTACTAATACCCTTCTACTAGAGATGGCAGCGACTGTTTAGGAAGTCATCTCTCCGTGGACCTGCTATGTTATCTTAATAAATGCCAACTCAATTTTACAGTTTGCTAAAGAAAAATCCTGGAAGTCCCCCTGGACTCTGTCTTCTCTGTATACAGTCCAGCACCAGTTCCTTTCAATTGTCTTTCAGGAGTGTACCCAGTCCTCTCTCTCCCACTGCTAGTACTCTGTTCAGGAAACTCTCAGAATCTACCTAGATCACTGCACTGCCCTTTTAACTTATCTCCCTGCCCCCAGACTTGTTCCTCTCCATCTTTAGCAAGAAACACAGTGGTCTATTTCCAAAATTCATGCTTCTTGAGATCCCTGAAAATTTTAGCCACCTTCTTAGCTCTAGTTATAATGCATCTGCTTCTTTCAGTTACCAAAGCACAACTTTGTGGAATATGTTTTCTGTCTTGTTGACCATGCCTTTACCTTATCCTATTATTTTTCTCTCCTTCAGTAGTGACTATCACCAAAGGGCCATTACTAGTCGTGTTTTTCACATCTTATGACCAGGTGGTCACTTTTTTTCTAGGGCAGGGTGGGGAGATTGGTTCTTTTAGAATATATATTCTTGTGGATTGAAACATGTTTTTCAAAAAGCCATGTTGAATTTCTAACACCCAGTATTTATGAATGTGACCTAATTTGGAAATAGGATTTGCAGGGAACCAGCAGTTAGCGTAATGGCTATGTCGCTGGACTCCCACATAGTCGACCGCGGTTCGCGTCCCGGACCCGGTGGCTTAGAACTCACGCCGGGCGCGTGTGCGAGCGTGCCCAAGATCCCGAGAGGAGAATGGAGGAGAAGGGATTGCAGCATGGCCATTCCCCTGGGGGGTGATTTCTCGCTCTCTGTCTCTATGTCTCTCTCTGTCTGGTGAGCGCACGCGCCCTATAGCAAAAATCTCTCCAAAAAAAAAAAAAAAAAAAGAAAGAAATAGGATTTGCAGAGATAGTCAAGTTAAAAGGAGGTCATACTGAACCAGGGCGAGCCCTAAGTCCAAGGAATACTATCCTTACTATTCTAAGTCCTTATTCTTCATCTCTCAAATTTAATAGGTCTTAGAGTAAAACCTAAAACATTTGTCTGTTTCTGTTCTACCTTATCTCCTTCCATTCCTTTGGGATCCATCAATCAGATTCTTGTCTAGCCATGTTTGTTTTTGTTTTGGGTTTTTTTTTTTGTTTGTTTGTTTTTTGGGGTTTTTTTTTTTTGTTTTTGGAGAGGTTTTTGCTTTAGGGCACGTGCACTCGCCAGACAGACAGAGACAGACGGAGAAACAGAAAGTGAGAAATCACCCCCCAGGGGAATGGCCATGCTGCAATCCCTTCTCCTCCATTCTCCTCTCAGGATCTTGGGCACGCATGCGCATGCGCCCAGCATGAGTTTTAAGCCACTGGGTCCGGGACGCAAACCGCGGTCGATGGGAGTCCAGCGACATAGCCATTACGCTAACTGCTGGTACCTAGTCATGTTTGTTTTTTAACCAATTTATAAATCACTGGCCAGTAAAATCTGACCATATATGGTGGGCAAAGTCTCACCTGAAGCTTTCTCAAATAAAGGATATTTTTCTCCTCACACCCCTTACTTCAGGGTCTGAAAGTGGAGTGGGTAACTCATTTCATCTTTGTTGCCAAAGTCTGGCTCACAATTTCCTTGTTCATTGATAACATGGGTACTACCAATATCACAAAACCAAAGGTAAACCGTGTCTTCATACTAGTTCACTAGATACAGTACATTGATGCCATCATTACAAATCTGGGCACACACCTGCATTATCTTAACATTCTCTATCTCATAATGTTACTGGCCAGCTAAGTCCAGCTGCTTCATCTTATGGTCAATAAAAAGAGATATAGAGGTTGGAGAAGGGAGTTTATTTCTGTAACCAGAATACAAGAATATGGTCAGAAAACACCATCAGAATGTCTCAAAAAGCTCAGCATGTGACAGGTATAAGCACATGCAAATCATTCCTTACTATCATCAGAGTCAATTGCCCTCCTCTGAATAATTACCCTAATTCCTGTTGTATCTCAAATACCCATTCTAGCCAAAAACCCACTTCTCATTTGACCATTCCTGAAATGACCTCTCCATGACTCAGCACTTACGACTGTTCTCATTAGAGGTCTTTACTAGTACAGTCCTATTAAACCTCAAGTGGGCTGTCTCAATTCCCACTATTAAATTCACCCACAATTTCTTTCTTTTTTTTTGAGAGGTTTTTTCGCTACAGGGCGCGTGCGCTCGCCCGACAGACAGAGACATAGAGACAGAAAGTGAGAAATCACCCCCCAGGGGGGGATGGTCATGCCGCAATCCCTTCTCCTCCATTCTCCTCTCGGGATCTTGGGCACGCACACACACACACGTCCGGCGTGAGTTTTAAGCCACCAGGTCCGGGACGCAAACTGCAGTCGACTACATGGGAGTCCAGCGACATAGCCATTACGCTAACTGCTGGTTCCCCACAATTTCTTTTTGAGTTGTATTTTATTGTGAAAAAGCTGAAAGGACTTGATCTTATCACTTCTGATTTTTATGAAATGATCAGTTCATAAGCTTTGGTATATTCAGAACATAGCAGAAGCATCCTCTGGACATCAACTATCTACACAGTAATATCAACAACCCAATAATTAACAATTTTCCTATTCCTATTTCTTAATCCATTTAGGAGCCAAGAAAATATGTTAGAAAACCAATCAACAGCCTTCGTTAGCAATGGGGTGTTGATCTGAAGTGATGAAGCCAAGTTACCTGTTGTCCAATTTTCTTGCTTGTCTCTACTTGAACAGTTCATAGTTTAACCTTTTAAGCCTTGGTTTCCCCAATTAATCCAATTTTCACATCGGTTCCATTTCTATCTTGTTTCCCTTTTTATAAGTTTATATTTGGAAACAACTTTAAATAACAAGATAAAATTTTATATATTGAAAATATTTTTTTAAAAAAACAGATTTTTGCTACAGGGAACATGTGCTCGCTAGAGAGACAGAAACAGAGAGATAAAAAGTGAGAAATCATCCCCCAGTGAGGTGTCCATGCCACAATCCCATCCCCGCCATTTGCCGACGACAAACAGCTCCTGAGGCCCACAGACTACAGAATGATACCTCAAGTTCATGTGAGCCTGGTTTCCCTTCCCATGGCACCTAAATGGTTCCTTCTCTGGAAACCAAACAAAGAAGGTCTTTGACTCACTGATTTAAGGTGCAGCTTCACCTAAGCAAAACCAAGCACTGCTGTTCCTACCTGCATTCTTGCTCTAGCTAAAGCCAGTGCAGATCTCTCCAGGAAAACACCCCGAAAGTCCCCAGAACTAAGCTGGTTCCAGTAACTTTGAGGAGATTCACACTGATCCTGCTCACAGTACTAACTGTTACCAGCTGACCAAGTCTGGCTGCTGCTTCTCCCAGTCAATGAAACGAGATTATTTCTGTAACCAGTT